TGGCCTCGGGCCGGGTCGGGGCGCCCCTGCCCGGGGCGCAGGGAGGAAGAACCACGCCAGGGAGAGGAGCCCGCGCGGAGCGACCCCAGCGCGCAGAGGGCAGGGGCGCTGGGCTGCTGCTCGTCCTCTGTGGACGGACCCTCCGCCGCGGCGGCCGCCCCGCGGACCCGGGGGCCTGCGGTGGCCAGAGCGTCGGGGCTGTTTGCTGCCGGCTTGGGGCCTGACCATGGGCTCGACGAGGAAGTCCTTTAAGGCAGAACCCAACTTGAACGGGTGTTTGCTTTGCCTCTGCGGCGCAGCTGGGTGATGCGAAGGTGGGCTGGGAGGAACCTGTTTAAAAATAGAGGGTTGTGAAAACCGATCTACTGCGTGTTATTGATAAAAATTACCCAGAATAAGGTGGGACTGCAGTTGATGACAGCGAGCCCTGTTCCCCAAGCACACTTCTACTGTGGGGTCTACAGCCATTAAAAGTATTGCAAGAGGTCTGCAGTGGAAGTTAGAACGCCACAGTTCTTAACCAAGTAAGGCCTTTAAACCTAGGAGTTTAGGGCACTCTTCAGGAATCGTATTTAAATCCAGAAGACTTGTTGATCCAACTGTACTTAAGTCATTTACCTAATAATTCAGAAAACTTTAAAAAGGAGGAACTGCGTAACTTACCCTGTGAAGGGTGAAATCGTGGGGGGTGTTTAAGGTTTGTGATTCTGTTAGGCCCAGCCATTTATCAGCGATGGGGGAATGAGTGAAAAAAAATGGAGCCCAAAGTCAAATGTGACCACAGGATTCTTTGCCAGAGTGGAGAAATCACCACAAAATATATTACAGCGCATACATTTTCATCATCATCTCTGTTTAGGTCAGGAGAAAACAAAAAAGTCGTAGTGCAGGTTCTATGCTAAACAAATTATTTCAACTAGTTTCAATTTGGGGGTGAGGTGAGAGTTGCTATTTTTAATCCAGTGTAGAGAAAATAGGATTAGGAGAAGCAGCCCAAGATCATCCTGGGAAGGAATGTTGCAAGCCCAAGTCCCTGTGACACCAATCTTTAACCTGTTGGAATTGTATTCCGGTTGAATGTTGGGTCTTTATGTTGCTGTTTCAACACTAGAAAAATATTAGATGTCATTTCCAGCTTATCTCTCTTATACTTGTTTCTAAAGTAAGTTACCTTCTAAAGAATTTTGGATATTAAAAACAAAACAAACAAGCAAAAAAAAAAAAAACAAAAAAACAAAAACAAAACCAAAAAACAGTTCAGATTCAGTGCAATTTAACCAAATCCAACTATGCAAAAAATTGGATGATTCAGGCATTTAACTAACTTCCTCTCCCCTGTAACAAATTTTCTTCTTAGTATTATAATCTAACTTAAAAAAAAAACTTTTCATTTTGCTTTTTGATTATTAAATCTCATTTGTGCCTTATTCCCCACAATTCATTTGCAGATACTACTGGAGCTATAGTTAATGTGTCTCTCAGACTAATTATTTCTCACCATCTCTACTGTTGTCATTGTTCAGGTAAATATTTGACAAGTGATAGTGCCATTAACTGAGATGAGGAAGTCCAGGGAAAAAACATCTTTAGAGATGAAATCAAGAATTCTCTTGAGTTTGGTATCCTGTTAGTGTAACAGGGTGGTCCCTAGGAAAAAGGGAAGTTCCAGGTTCCCTGCCCCACCCAGAAGGAGGGTAGAGCTCAGCAGAGAAAAAAGAGAGAAGAGAAGGAATCAGGATGGAGAGCCAGGAGACCCGAGCAAGCCACATGGAGCAGCAAGCATGTGATGAAGAAACCGTGCTTGTTTCCTGACCCTGGTTAAGGCAGATGTGGGTAAGATACCTGTAGGGAGGTGACTATGGTAGTGTTTATATTGATTTTGATTTTTCTCTTTTGCTTTTAGATTTGTCTGGCCATTTCTGACCCTTTTCCATGGGTCCCGGCCAGAAGGTGCTTTAGTCTGGTGGCAGGCTTTCAGGCCTTGCTTTGGGCCAATCCCTTTTGGGTTGACTTTTGCCCACGAGGGGATGGGTAACTTCAGGTGTTTGATTTAGAAGTTATATTCTTTGTGTTCCATATTGTATATTCATTGTATTAAAGTCCCTTTCATTAAAGTTTTATATGTTTTGTCTTGTTGCGGTGGATGGCAGAACCCACTTAGAGCAGGCAGGTTTTGGGGCTTCAGAGGTGTCCCTCTCTCCCTGTCATATAACAGAATTGGGGTGCCCTGTAACATTAGGAACCCAGACGTAGTTGTTGAGTAATTATATCTCTGAATGGAGCCTCAGTCTAGGACTAGAGTTAGCATATGATATTGGTGGTATTTTGAAGTCATGGGAGATAACAGGCCATCAAAGATTGTTGAGGACTAGGGACTCCTAGTCCTGAACACTCCTCCATTCAGTGCATTTGAAGAGGAGGAGGTGCCAAAGGCTAATAGGACAACTGTGTTTTTTTTTTTTTTCAATAGCCAGGGGCTAATGAAACAGGAAGAAAACCAGGAGAAGTGTGGTATCTAACTCTTAGTAAGAAGGGAGGTATTAACTGACTCAATGTGTAGTTCAGAGCTCAGCACTGAGAAATGGCTTGGCAAGAAAGATACCTTGGTGACATTGACAAAAGCCCCTTTGATGGACTGCTAAGAATGAGAGCCTAAGAGGGATGGGTCTTGGGAGGGGTGGAGGAAAGTAGTATCAGCAACTCTTAATGTTTTACTGTAAAAGGAAGCAAAGCTAAGGATCAACAATTGAGGGTGGGTTTAAATCAAGGAAGTTTGGATACTACATCCTGTTTGCTGAAGGGAATGATCCAGAACAGAGAAAATTTTGATGATCCCAAATCCTTGAAGGAGCTGGTAATGACAAAGGAATAGGAAAGTGCTCAAAAGGAGGAGCAAGGATGGATGTTGGCAGGTTGGTACAATTAGAGGTTGGAGGATTCAGTCATTGTCATGATAATCCTGGGAAGTATGAGTCATCTTCATTTCACAGATTATAGAACTAAGATTCAGTTAAGTGATTTGCTAAAGACCTCACAAATAAATAGCAGATTTAGGACTCTGCCCAAGTCACCTGACTCCAAGTTGTGGGCTATTGATACTGTACCACAGTTTATCTGATCTCTTTCACTTTCAGATTCTCATATCTAATGATCTGGACTTGGAGCCTGAAGTCTAGGGTTGTGATTCCTGCACACTCACTGGGCTTTCAGTCTTGTTCAACTTCTTTAAGCCTAGATTACCTTGTTTTTAAGGTGGTAACACTAATAACTGCTAGCCACCTGTGTTATAAGAATCCAATGAAATAATATACATGCAAGTACTTTGTAAATGGAAAAGCACTTTCTATACAAATGTAGGGTGATGATTCATGTGGTTGTAGCTCAGGCTAAATAGCTTTAGAAACTTGCTAGGCAGAGCTATTTTGAAACGTGTGGCAAGGACCAGAATTTAAGCTTTTCCTTGCTTATGTAACATGACAGAGTAGTTAATGTTAAACATCAGAGATTTTGGTGTTAAAGTATCTCTGTACTTGTAGTAATAGTGAGAATCACACCACTTTAAAAATGTGAGAAAACTGCTTACAGGATGCCAGTCTGTCAACATAGATGGGGGTGGGGGATGATGAGACAAGGATTGGGGGGTGAAACTCTTATGAATATTCATATTTAAATTTTGTCTTCTATTTCATCATTGTCACTAGTCTCATTGTCCTGCATGACACGGACACAAAACACTTTCTTAGGTATTGTGACACTACACACATTTCACATATAGACTATAATTGATTTATATTGACCTGCATTTTATACTTTAAAATTTACTCCATGGTGGTGGAAGTTTTGCTTAGAATATAAATTGCATGATTAAACTATCACATCATTTCACTTGAGAGCTTTTTATTTGTGTCTGTAAATTTTAAATTTGCTGGTTTATATTATATTTTATGATCACTGAATTAGCATATTATTTGTTTTTATGTACTTTTTATGGTGCTATATAGGATAAAGTTTAGAAACTAATTTGTTTTAATAGCTCTTTTGCCTTTCTTAAATATTACTTGGCTTAAAAGTTTAGCTAAATGCTGCAAAATGAAAATTTTCTTTGTAGAATTATCTCAACACTTTCAGTATTAAGTATTCTACATTTTGTCATAGAATCACTTCAGTAACCTGTGATAAAATATATATCTTGAATTCATTTTGTGTTCTATTTTTGATGGATACTGATTTTTAATAGTTGGGTTTCTTTAGTCCCATAGGTTTTTTGTAAAAATGTTTATTTAGTAAGTACCTTAGGACAAATGACTGGATTTAAATCAAGAAAATGGTAACTGTAAACAATATTAAAAGGACATTTATAATAATTTCATTACTCTGGTTATCTTGATACTTCCTAGATTTTATGGATGTTCTTTAATTTTGTTCAGGAAATTAATCAAGAAATTATCTTGCTTCAACTTGTAAATAGAAATTTACTTTTGACCTTAGGGTGGTGATTCCACTGAAGCTTCTGCCAAACCAAAGAGAAGTTTTTATGCTGCGAGGGATTTGTACAAATACCGACACCAGTACCCAGTAAGAATATGGAATGTTTTTTTTCTAAAATGTGAAATATTTTCCCTTTTTTGTGGTGCTGACGAGCAAACATCAGGGTCCTTGTGCCTTTTTTTAAACTATCCAAATGCTGGAGATTGATTTATTTTTTCCTTTAGCAGAACTTCAAAGATATCCGATATCAAAATGATTTGAGCAATCTTCGTTTTTATAAGAATAAAATTCCATTTAAGCCAGATGGTGAGTAATCTACTACTTTGGTAAAAGGCTAACTTGACTTAATAATGTATAACAGTTATTCACTATTTAATCTGTTAACCGGAAATAGTCTCAATAACAGTCATAACTAGTGAGGATTTGAACCAAGAAGCAGCCTGACAGATTTTACTCTGTGAAAATTCCAGCAAGCACAAGTTTGGATTTAGTTTATATAGACAGGAGCACTGAGTCATTGAAACAGCATATACAATTATTCTTCACAGGGGAACTTCTGAGTTGTCCTGAATTAAAGGTATGTGATAAAAGAGGAAAACAATATAGGATTTAGTTTCTTCTCTAAAGTATGTGCATAGAGCTGCAAACTGATAAATCTTTATGGGGCTTCTTGGTCACCAATGGGGGTGAAAATATGGACTTTATCTATAGGCATCAATTTGCATAGCTATTCCAGTCTACGCTAATGATCCTGCTTTCTTGTCTGCTGCAACAGGGAGGGGCCATTTCACAACATTTTACAGCAGATTCACAATTCTATGGTCAGTACATCCTTAATGCATTTATTCACTGAGTGACTGTACTTTGCTATGCAGTTCATTGTATCCCTATATCTTAGAGTTGTGAGCATTAACTTTGGCAAATGCTGGATAAATAACTATGGATTAGCAAAACCTTTCCACTACCTGATATAGTGACTGTTATAGGCAGTTGGGCCAATTTTGTGACAGGAAAAGAAATTTATAGAACTGTAGAATATTATTGAGGAACACTAGGGGAGATCACATTCAGCTTTTTCTTTCAAAGATGTTCAGTGAGTCTTAAAGTTTGACTGACTGCTGTGTTGGGTCATTTGATTGAAGAATTTAGTCTCTGGTTCCAGTGTTCATTGTTTTTTCCACTGTGCCATACTTGGAATTTATTTAGAACACAATTGAAAACTGATGTTTAATAAATTAACTTTCCTATTGATTTTTGGATTCAGGGGTCCCAGTTCAATGTTCTATTATCCTGGGAAGGGAACTGCAGTAAAGTAAATCTCTATAACGCTGCCAAATAAACTTTGTTCGTCTTTACAACTCTACAAGTTGGCCTCAGGAAAATTTTTTAAATCTGTAGTGAAGGATGGAGTTCCTATAGTATATGCACATTTCAGTAAAACATCATGCTGTGTTTATGGTGGTTATCCTAATTTTATCCAGGTCAAACCAGAAAAACTGGCTTCTATCATTAGAGCCCTTTTTCAGTGAGGTGACCAGATGGCCGTGCTCCTGCTCTTTGCTCTCAATAGAAATCAGGCCAAATCCATAGCAATATGTTAGGGAATGAAAGCTATGGAGTGCAGAGCTATTCAAGTGTTATAATAATAATCTTGTATTCTTTGGTGAATTGACTAGAGGAAAGAGACAGAAAGGCTAGGTAGTGTTGGGAGGAGGAATTCCTCCCAACAGATACACTGGTTGAGAAATCAGAACTAAGACAGTTGCTGAAATGGCTGGATTCATGTGTCTTTAATTTCTTTTTTTGGGTATCCCAAAATTCTGCTCTGATTTTGAAGGAAAACCTGGTTGAAAATGGTCTGTCGTACTTTCTAATGGTTAAAACACATTTTTTTTTTTACTAATTGAAACAATATTAAATTTTTAGGGCTTTTTTTTTTTTAAGGACTTGGAGGTAGGGAAACCATTTGAAAACATGCTGGGATAGATTATTAATTTGACTTCATTTTGAATTTAATAAAACTTGCCTAAAGCAAGGCCTTCAAATATTAAAGATACTGTGACAAAATAAGAAGTTATTTTGTATTCCTAATAGTGAATTTGTTTTTTAGTTACTAACTTAAAGCAATTCCTTCAAGCAGTGTATTAGTTTTTTTTTTGGAGTATTTATCAAATATTTATTTTGAAATCTTATGAGATTGGTGAGGGTGAGGAATTTTAGCTAAGGTCATAAAAATGTTATTCTAGTTTTTATATAAATTGCAGTTTACAATTTCTCCTCCAGCATGTATATGCATACATGCACACTCACATGCATACCTACTTCCCAGTAAACATAATCCTGTAATGATGTACTTTAGATAATTAAATAAAAGGAGGAGCAGTTGGTATGGGGAACAAAAAAGAGCTTGGGGAAATAAATAGTTGTAACATGTTGTTAAAGGCAACATTTTGCCTAACATTAAGAGTGGCCCTTTACTACAAACTGATGAAATTTGGAGGGCACAAAAATGAGATCAGTTATGTTTAGAGGCATAGTATGTTGTGTTTTTTATATCGCTGTCCAAGAGCCACATAATCAGTTGTGAAGACATAGACAGATTTAAGAAGTGGTTTCTGTTATCTGTCCTTAGAGAAGAGCAACAGAATGTGGTGGAGGCGGTTTACATTTTGAAAGCAGAAAGATCCTTGTTCTACTTTATTTTGTTAGTATGTGACTTTAAACATATCACAATTTCCTCATCAGTAAAACAGGGATAACATTACTGGTTTGGGAGAGTTCTGTGAAGATTAAGCTGGATGATGTTACCCTATGGCCAAGCATATTGTTAGCACCCAACACCATTTCCTTTCGTTTTTTTTCCCCTCCCTTTTCTCCTTTTCCTTTCTTTCCTTTTATCTTCCTCTCTTCTTTCTATCACCATCCTACCCTCCATTTATTTCAATTTGATGCTTTCTATTATTTAAAGAACTGTATGACTCACTGAGGCAGGGATAGACAAATAGTAAATATTTTTGGTTTTGTGAGCTAGATGGTCTCTGTTGTAAATATTTATCCCTACTGTGGTTATGTAAAATACAAAAATGAATGTGTATGACTGTGTTTCAATAAAACTTTATTTACAAGACAGATGGGAAGGTATAGTTTTCTTACCTTTGCTTTTGAACATTCTGCAATTTGAGGTGCTTTTAACATTTTTAAAGGCATTATTTTTATGTACAATTGTTAAATTTTTAACATAAAAATTAAGTGGTTAAATCTTAAAATGTATTCAGTGATGTTTAAATATCTGATTCATTTCCCAATACTTACTGTTTAGGTGTTTACATTGAAGAAGTTTTAAATAAATGGAAAGGAGATTATGAAAAGCTGGAGCACAACCATACTTACATTCAATGGTCAGTTACATACTATTTTTCTTGAGCCAGGTGCTATTTAATCATTTATGCTTTCCATTTTTAATTTGAAAATATTATTTTTCTGAAAAACAGGCTTTTCCCTCTGAGAGAACAAGGCTTGAACTTTTATGCTAAGGAACTAACTACATATGAAATTGAGGTAATGTAACTCATATTATCTTCAATGAGATGGCCAAATATAATAAAACATTGCTGTGTTATTGTCCTGGTAGCTACCAAATCATTTCAGCTTTTTTTCTTATAGGAATTCAAAAAAACAAAAGAAGCAATTAGACGATTCCTCCTGGCTTATAAAATGATGTTAGAGTTTTTTGGAATAAAACTGATTGATAAAACAGGAAATGTTGCTCGGGCTGTTAATTGGCAGGAAAGATTTCAGCATCTGAATGAGTAAGTAAATCCTCCCAAGATACATTAGGAGCCAGCATGTTTTTTTCCCTTGTTTGGAATTATCTGTGAAACATAGGAACAACTAGCAGATGGACTTGGGAATTTTAATTAAAAGGCTATACTATCTCCTACTTCTATTCAGAAACAGGACAAACCAACAACAGAAAAATAAAAATCCAGGTAAAAATACGGCTCTTTAACTACAGAGCTATTTGTTCCTGGCTTTGATACCCAAGCGTGGACGCTCTCCCTTGTTAGGCCATATTTATTTCCATTTATTGTTATTTTTTGCATATGTTTTTCTGAATCCCTTTTGTAGCTGGTTGTAAGCTTCTTGTGGCTCAGTATGTAGTTAACATCCTCAAGCATAGTTTTTTTTTTTTAGATTAAACCCATGAAATAAAACTATGACTTATAAAATTCATTGTATAAGCCTGAAATGTACCCAAATATTTTATTAAAAAAGAGAGAAAATTAAGATATTTTCTATTTAGGTTAAAAACAAAAGCCCATTTTTGGTTAATAAATCCCTGTGAAGAAAATTTTAAATTGGTTTATTTGGAATTGATGTGCTACAAGCTTTTGCTTGGATATTTATATATCTATTAATACTTACAACCAAAATTTAGTTTAATTATTTTCTTTGCATGTAAGCTGGCTCAATTTTTCCTTTCTAATTATAGGGTGCCTTACAAGTGCTGGACTATAAAACCAACAGCTTTGAAGCATTTGTTAGCACATTATAATTAGCTAACTGGGCAAGGACCAAGAGGAAAAAAATGAAGGCTAACCTAAGGAATGTTTCTGTGGCCAAAACGGAGTTTTGTGCTTCAATGAACTATTATATTTCTAGAACTTTTATTGTGCTTTGGTAAAATAATTTTTAATGTACTGCCTTCCTTTTTCTTCATTGTTAGAATCAACACCATGAACTTCTACTAAAACAAGGAATATATAGGCACAAAGTTTGTGATCCTGACTAGAAGACCCATTAACTCATAACTGAGGTTAAATTTAATTTATGTAGGGCATCTATAGAAAAATAAATGCCTCTGCCTCAGCAGTCAGGTAGCTATCTCTGAAAAAACTTTCTAAGCACTCACTTCATATGTCAAATGAAACATTATACAAATAGCTTATTGACATGAAGGATAGCTGAGGTAAAATCTTTGGAGCGAATCTTTATTTTCCATGGAGTCATCTGCATATGGTTTATCACTTTAGAGAATCTCTACCCTCAACTTGTTTTTGGTTAGAATAGTGATTTCATTTAGTAAATGTTTGTTGATGAATAAATGATGAATGAAGTACATTAGCTAAATCCTCCTTAGGGCTTTATTGTCAGATTCCCCAATTGAGAGCCTGCAATAGAGCACTTCTGAAAGCTATAGTTAAATGATTTCTTGGCTTGAGTCAGGGCAGGGGAGCCTGAACTGTCTGTCATTTTTCACTCCTCTGTTCTATGCAACCCTCTATCTTTCCTCCATCTATTCTCTCTTTTTCTTTTCCCTGGGCATTTCTCATATCTTTTTCCAAATGTGAATTAATGGCCTAGAATCTTCCAGAGAATAAATTTCCAAAAAAAAAAAATTGTATTGACTGGATTTGAACATATTACAGACACTTTTTAAAGGCAATTCACCATATATTAGACTTCTATTTTCTTTCTTTGGTTGAGTTTTCTGATTTATCATAAAACATATTAAGTGTTTTGTGTTTTTATTATATATGACATTTTGAGTTTTGTAAGAATAGGTAGGGAATTTCATATTGTAGTAGCCTAGCAGACAAAAACTGCTGAATGAAAGGGGAATGAAATCATGTTCAGTGTACAAGTTACCATAGCTAAAGAGATGAAATATTTTTAAATGTGAGAGTATGAATATACAGAGCAATTATGACAATGTGTTTTCAATTTTATTTGTAATCATTATGGATTATTGAACCAAATTTTAGATTCTGGAATACTCTTTTTATTTTCTGTTCCCTAGCTTGTGCCTTTTGTGTATTTCTTCTTCACCTACCTAATCTTCCTGACAGTTTTAGCTCTACTTATTGTCCTTACCTCTGCCTGGAAATCCAGCTTCTCTCTTTATCTGTTGTGGAATCCTGAAGACTCCCCACACTTTGCCTTTATTTGTGACACTTATTTCTAATCATACTGAAACATCCAATTTCTTTCTCAAGTAATGTTTTTCTAAAATCCTGACCTTCGTTCTCTTCAGCCCAAGTTCTTGTCCTTTTTTACTTAGTAAATACCAATTTTTTAAGTTTGAAGAATGTGTAGATTCAGTTAATATACAGATATTTTAACTTGGTCATTCACTTTATAGTAGATTTATGAAATTGAACTGGTTGCAAATATAGCAAATTTTGTTGTGTCATATAACTCCTTCTTGAGATTTAAAAAATATATATTCTTCCACTTTTCTGTGTTTATCTTTCTCACAGACTTATGAAGCAGTTATTATTCAACTTTTTAGAGTATACAAATTTCTGTACTAACCTAGCCATTAAGTCAGTTTTGCTGCTAATGTCACACAGATTTGTACTGTCTCAAAAGACTCTTACGTATTAACTACTGAAAAAATAGAGATTCATAAACTAAACAATAGCTGTGCTTTATTTTATCTTTTGCTTTCAAAGAGTTTAATATTGATACTTTTTTGGTAAATACACATAAGGAAGGAGATGATAAAAACTGCTGGATTTGTCTTTCTTAATATTTGCTTAGCCTGAATCATTAAGATTTTTATCTTGTGCAAACTATTCTTAAAATATAAGACCATGAAACTATTCCTTCAATCCCTCAGATAGTTCAACATCCTTCTCTACTTTTTCCAAATAATTTGCTAGTAATTCCTAAGTCAAATACTTAGCAATACTTGGGCCTTCTGTTAGTCTGGGCAGGTATATGCAATGCTTATCTTTAGTGTCTGAAGTAAAACAGGTTTTAGGAAGTTAGAAATAAGCGATAGCTATGAAAACTGGAAATAACTGCAGTGATATTAATACCTGGACTGTTAATGTGATATATAATTTAATATATGCAGTTGAGGATTCCTTTGGGATGCAAACTATGTGTAGGTAATAAGGCAGCTTTAGACAAAGTAAGGGAAGCAGATTATAAGTTATGACATCTGACAATGGTCTTAGTTTTAGGACAGAGAAGAAAGATGTTAGTGCAATCTGGGAAAAAAAGCAGATTTGGAATCAATGCCATTAGAAGCAAAATTTCAAATTCTCTGATAGGGAAAGAGCAGAGGAAAGTGAGACCAGGGACAGAAGAAAATTAAGTTATTGTGTTGGGATGTGCACAAACATGGTGGTCCTTAATAAATGTAAGATAATATTTAATGTTAACATCACTATCGTTATTTAATATCTGTGTTTTGTCCTATATGCCTTGCATGTGAATCAACTCAATTGATTTTTATGGCAGCCCAGTGAGATATAGGCCTCTTTACAGATGAGGATACTGAACTTTACAGAGACATTATAACCCTGAAAACCAGGGTATGAACTGAGGTGACTTAAAATTCCATGTTCTGTATATGATTTAGTGGAAGAGGCTCATATCTCCACAGATGAGACAGATTTCATCCTTTTTCAGATTTGTTCTAGCAACGTGGAATATTTTTTGTTGTTTTTCTATTATGAATTGATTAACATGGAGGAATTAGCTTATCAGCTCACATTATACATTGTGTATTTCAGCAGATAGCTAAAGTTGCATGTTTTCTCAGCACTGGTTACTTGTGATGACTACATTACTGTTGTTTAAAACAAATGCTCTATTAGTATTCATCCTCAGTATATTTAACAGACAAACAATATTTAATAGACAAACAATTCAGCATCAGTGGGAATAGTATTTAAATCTAAATATTTCCAAATATTATGATCTATACAAGAATAATTTATAGTATACATTTGAGTTTCCATAGATTGCCATTATACTGAGGTATAGGTGGTTGAATACCTAGTAACTTGTTCTTAATGGTGTCTATATAACATCTAAAATTATTACAAGGCACATTTTTATGGTTTACAGTTTCATAAAAATATGTTTTCTAATCATTTCTCTCTCCTATGTTTCTCCACATGCTTTCTTCCTCATTTTATCCAATCCTTTCTTCCAGGTCCCAGCACAACTATTTGAGAATCACTCGTATTCTTAAAAGCCTTGGTGAGCTTGGATATGAAAGTTTTAAATCTCCTCTTGTAAAATTTATTCTTCATGAAGCTCTTGTGGAAAATACTATTCCCAATATTAAGCAGAGTGCTTTGGAGTATTTTGTTTATACAATTAGAGACAGAAGAGAAAGGAGGAAGCTCCTACGTTTTGCCCAAAAACATTATACGCCTTCAGAGAATTTTATATGGGGACCTCCGAGGAAAGAACAGTCAGAAGGAAATAAAGCCCAGAAAATGCCTGTCCCTCCAGCCTCCAGTCACAACAGCCAAACTTCTATGCACAAAAAAACCAAGGACCTCAAAAATTCGTCCTCAGCTGTTCATGTAAATAGCAAAACAGCTGAAGATAAAAAGGCAGCACCTCGAGATCCTGAAGAGACAGACAGGCCTAGTGCACAGCTCAACAATGAAGCTGTGAAGCCAAGAAACACAGAGAAGGATGGTAATGATGAAATTTCAAATTCTCAAACTGTAAAAGCAATGAATAATGTGGCAGAGAAAAAAGAGAATGCATCTCTTTCTGAAAAAGATGAAGAAGGTGAAAATCACAACAAAGACTGTGAAAATTCTGGAAATACAGTTTCCCATGATGATATCCTATTACAGTGAATTATCAGAGAGCTTACCCACAAGTTTAGGTAAGGGAGGAAAGCACTACTGTATAACTTAACCTAAGAATAGAAATCACATTTCAAGTTTTAGCCATCTGCTTATGATTCCTATTGTAAGCATTTTGTTGTTTCACATCTTTTACTTTGGATTACAATGTGTTGAATAATTAATTTAATTTTAAAGTAAGACCCAATAAAGGGATATATTCTGTGACACTTTTAGGCTATATTTTCAAATTCTGTACACAATAATTAGTTTAAAATTGTTTTCGGTCTATCTGGAAATAATCATCTAGTAGTTGATAAATCAAATTATTTTGAGAGATTATAATCTATAGGAAGAAAATCAAGAAGATAATTTTATTGTGTTGCCAAACCTATACCTGATTTATAGGTTAAATTTTTTTAAGTGGGAGGAAAGAATCTGTAAATGGATTCACTAAGTAATCTGTATCTTTTAATTACAATACCTCAACATGTTTATTTTCGAATTTTGTTAAGCAAAAAAGTAAAACAGATGTTCGATATTCTTGGGGATTCCTGCTCTCCCAGCCCTTTTATTGGTCTCATTGACTTTTTCTTTTCCTCTCTTTCCACACTTAGCCTAATACTACCATCTTGTCATTAGCATGTACGTTTCTAGTGTACCTTCAGATGATCTCCTATATAGAAATTTAAATGGAACTAAGAGGGCAATTTCAACTGTATGATTATAAGAATTTGCTTTTGTTTAAAATAATAAAAAATATTTTCTCCATTAAGTGCTTAAAAGCAAATTTTGATAAAGAAGTCCAAGAAAAAAATTTTGCTTTTTATGTCTTCCATATAAATTTTGCTTGTTTGTAAGTACAAATGGCAGATAAATTAAAAGGAAATGCTTTATTTAAAAAAAAATGCCTCCTGCATTGGCAACAAGGTGGTAGTAGTCCCTCAAACAATGTATATTTCAGTGTTATGTGGATTATGAAATTAGTACTATTGCTTAACCCATTGTATCTTAAACACACACACAACTTAATACAGCTTTCAGTTGCCAAGCCTTGAAGTTGAGAATAGATTTGAAATTCTATATACTCAGTTTCAGTAAGCACTTAATACATATTAATAGTGGTTAAGAGCAAATAATTTAACTCCTATAATATTATGACTATTATAAAACAAATTATGGCAAAAATGTTAATGCATACATATATAGTTAAAACAGTTAGTAGAAAGAATTTATTTTAGTTTATTTCATTTAGAAAGGAATTGACTTGCGTTTCTTAGGCTTTTAAGAAAAGTTCTATTCACTTTAACCCCCAAAGCATTTTTGCAATGTCCTATTTTTTAACCACATCTTATCTTCACTTACCTCTACTATCTTCATTTTCAGCATAGGACTTTTAGAAAATAAACACAATCATATACTTTTAGAAATATGATTTTATTTCTTAAAGTTTACATGAAACATCACAGCTCCTTAGCCCCGACTTTTGTAATGTTAGTGACACATGTGGTATATCATATTCCAATAAATATAGAACATTTTCTCATTTTCAGTTCCCATAATAGGCCAATTTTTTGTTGCTTATACTGTCTTATGAATTGAGTATTAGGATTTAGGAAGAAGTCTGCTTTTGCATTTCAGTTTCTTTTTCACATTTAGGAAATACATGGACCCTCTGACACAGTGCTAGTTACAGCAATGTCCCCAGTAAGCTCACTAGTTTTACAGGATTAGAGAATAAGGGTAGGTTGTTGCATACGGTTGAATTTTAGAAAGGTGATAAATTTATTTAAAAATATCTTACCAATTTTGGAGCATAATAATATGCCAACATGTTCATGCTGCTTTCTAAGTGTATCATAAACATTTCTGAACAGATGTTAACATTTTACTAAACAGTGGCCAGCTAGTAAAAAAAAAGTGGATATAACCCGAATTACTTAAGACATTGTAGTACATCAGAACACTTAAAAATAAAAATATTTCATTCAGAAATATAACTTGCAGAATATTATTCCTGGTTGGGGGGTTTGATTAGGTAGTGTATTTAGTCTCAAGGGGAAGCTATCTGGCTCCATCTAAACGAGTGGCCTTTTCCAACATGTTTTTTTTTTTTTAAATGCACATCATATGTAATAGTACATTTAATTTGTAATAACTAATGAAAGAATTAGTGAGGACATAATTTCTTTTATAGATAAAAATGATCAGTGTCTAAAACTTTTTCTATTAAGAATAATTTGTACATTTAGTAGCTTTTAAAATAAGTGCAAAAGTTAAAGATATGTATTTCTGTGTGTCTTACATATGAAACAGTCCTCTGGGTTTGATGCTGATATTTTGTATTTTAAAAAACTACCATATGCCTGCAGAAATTTAGTGAAAAGCTGTTAAAAAATGCGGTGAAGCATGGCCAAATAGCTAGAAATATTATTGAATCTTTGCAAATGCATAGTCTTTATTGTTGTACCACAGACTGCAAATATACTATTGGCTATTACAAACACTAGCTTGCATTTCACAATGCTGCTTGATTAATCTCGTACATTTCTAATTTTTGTGCTTTTGTATCTTCAAGGAGATGACATGTGAAAATATTTTGAAATACTGTAAAGTGATATATAATTATAAGATATATTTCTGTACAGTAGAGAAAAAGTTTATAACATAAAGAATATTAAACCACCATACATTTTCATCATTTAATCTCATAGCAAACTCAAAAGAACCATGATAGAAGTAAGAACTATCTCTACATCAAGTTCAGTTCTTAGCTCAAGGATTATTTTGTATAGTTTTATGTTGAATTTAGGGTTTGAAACTACTTTTTTTGAACTTCAAAAAAACAAAACCTACAACTCAGGAGTTAATTGGTTGATTTGACAGAGCATATTTGGTTAATTGCCTAAAGTTAATTTTCTCAAGTTTATAGTGTAATTCTGGTTGAGTTTATAATCAATTGAGTGTCTAAATCAAGCAGTGTTTTTTTTTTTTTTTTTTTTT